CGGGCCGAGGGCGGGCGGGCCGAGGCCGCTGGGGCGGCGGCGCAAAGCAGGGCAGGGGGGTGCAGCTCCGCTCCGCTTTCCTTAACCCGGCACATCTCATTCGCTCCATTAACGACCCCGAGCACCCCCTCACCCTGGAGGAGCTGAATGTCGTCGAGCAAGTGCGAGTGAAAGTGAGATCCCCGCTAAGATGTGCTTACCGTCCCGCTGGCGCGGCGGTCCCGACCGGGCCTCCCGGGGCTGCGGTCAGCACTGCCGACCGGTAAAATGCGTGCTGTGCTGCAGGGCCGTGCTGCCTCTGCCGTCTGATTAACTTAATTATTTTTTTCTAACATTAAAAGAGGTTTATTATAGCGGTCTGCTGCAGCTACACATAGTATTTTAACATGGCAGTGAAGAAAACGATAAGCGCATACAGCTTCAGGTTGCATTTCACATAAAATGCCTCCAGCTAGCTTGGGGTAAAGCCAGTGAGTTTTGTACATAAAAGTGTTCGGTTTTCAACAGGTGAATGACGCAGAAAGCACGGTGGCAGTGGAGTTTACGCCCACCATTCCTCACTGCAGTATGGCGACGTTAATCGGCCTCTCCATAAAAGTAAAATTGATCAGATCTCTGCCTGAGAGATTTAAGGTGAGTAATCACATTGCTCTGGAAAGCAAATTGTGTTTGAAAAGAAAAAAAAAAAAGGGCAAAGAAAAAAAAGCTAACTAACTTACAGTGAAAAATAACTAGAGCTTTTTTCATAGTATGGGTGAGGGAAACACTCCAGGAACCAGAGGGGGTCGTGGACTAAAATATTGATGCAGAATTATGGTTCTGCGACAGTCATGTCGAGGGTGAGTGGGGTTATGGAGGGAAGCTACCTGCAGTGCTCTACGGCACAGGAGGAGGAGAGGTTGGTGCCTCATCCCCCTGTCTGAAGGAGGCTTAAGCAGATAGGAATGTAGAATATTCTGTGATTTTAGACTTCATTTTATTCTGCTAGATACGGTAACTGGCAAGAATGTCCTTTTTCCCCCTCTTTTTGTTATTGTCTTATTTTTATTATTAAATAGTTTGAACCTGAGCTTCCAATGTTTTGTTGACTTGTCCCCTTTTTCTTTTGTGATGCTTTTTAAGCTGGATGTTCATATAACACCAGGAACACATGCCTCTGAGCATGCAGGTAAGGTTTTTAGTGCTCTCGTGTGGTCATCTTTTATTTTTTTTAATTTTGAAAATTAGAGAGGAGAGACACTGCCACACCTGCAGAGCAGCTGTTTAGTATCTGGGACTTCACATGCATCAGCTTCTGGGGGATGTTACAGATCAGGAATGTGTAATAATGACACTTAGATATGTCCTGTACCGTACTTTAAACATCTCCTCAGGCAACCTGTGATCTTGACTAGTCACTGATTTGCCTGGGTTATGGAGGACTCAGAAAATGGGAGAGGCTGGGGGGAAATTTCTTCTTGTGTTAGACCTACACGTGTGTAGCTCCCTGCTGCTGAATCATAAACAGCTTGCTGGTTTAACTTGTGATAACATGGTAGCTTTGACTTTAGACTGCAACTCTGCAGTGTACTTAGCATCTGCAGGTTTACTAGTCTACCTGAGTACCATAGCAACAGTGTGATTATATGTCTCAATGTAAAATGCTTTTTAAAAAGACCTTGTATACCAATGTTTTGACTGGTTTCTTGTGGTGTTTTTTTTCTGCTCAGTTAATAAACAGCTTGCTGATAAAGAACGTGTAGCAGCTGCTTTGGAAAACTCTCACTTGCTGGAAGTGGTGAATCAGTGTTTGTCTGCTCGATCGTAATTGCCCAATGAGGAAATCGTTGGTGTTCTGCTATGTTAAACTAATTTTGTATATAAGTGGTGACGCTAGTGTTACACTATACATATGAGCAAAATAAAATCACTTGGATTTTCTTAAAGAAATGTTTCATTACTCCTACAAAAAATAGTATGTGGGAAATTAGCTTACAGGCAGCTACAAAAATATAATGAAAACTGACTTTTAAATTTGATTAATCATTGCATAGGTAGGATTTTTATTTGAAAAGATTTGTTTCAACCTGTTTTTAACTCGTTTCTCACTATCCAGTATTAGTTATAAACTGCATTTTAGAAGTGGATTTTGTACACTGGACTTTACAAGTACGCCAAGCTAACTGGCAGTTAAAATCCTTACATTCATATGACTGTTTTGGACTGCTAATATAATTTTAGTTTCAGACATCAAAAATTGTATAAGTTCATGTGTGCAAAGTTGTAACATTTTAGCAATAAGTGTAATCACTTCTAAATCATCTGCCTGGTTTTTATTATATTAACTTGGATTAGCCAAGTATGGATGGCTCTTTAGACCTGTATAAAACATGATTTATTTTTAATTACTCATTACTTGTGGTAGGAAATACAGTATCTTTGAGGTAGGGTTTTTTTTCATGCACCTGCCGCAATATAGGAGAGAGTCATTCATAGTTTTCAGTACAAACAGTCCAGTTACCCTCTGCTGAAAGACTGTCCTGGCAAAGTTTGACAGCTAAATTGCAAGTTTTGCTTTAAACGTATTGAGATTTAATAATAATACCTAGCCTATGCTTCTGGTCCAGGAAATGTGGCATTTACTAAACTATTGTCTTTGGCAGAAATTGACAATAGAAAAATTCATTAAGATACAATTCCAGAATTAATTTGAACTTTTGTAAAAGATGTTTCTAATCGTGGACCACATGGAAAAATAACAACCTGCTAAAGAAATCCTATCGGGTATTTTGGTGCCTGCACACATGCAATGTTACTGTCATCATCATCAGTTATCTAGAGAGTAACTAATACACTTTTAAAAAAGTAGATTGTGCTCACCTGTTTGATGGTAATGCTTTATATTTCAGTAGTATTTTTTTCTTGGAGGGTCTCAGGCACTATTTTAATAATGGTGAAGCTTATCAACACTATGTAAACCACAGCCTAGTAGTCCAGTCTAGTCTGTCTTGAGCAGCTGAGGAAACTGAGGCAGTGGTGATCCAAATGTGATGCCTAAAGTCACAGAGCAAAATAGAACAGAAACAAATCCAAATCTTCCCGTTTCAGAAATGAGGCACCCAGTTTGCACAGGGCTTCTACAGAAAGCCAACTCCACAGCAGCCTTAATCTGCTTATTTGGCTTAGCATTCTTTGAATGATCAGTGCTTGCTCGGATGTATAAATGAAACTGTAAATAAAGACAATACTTATGTAGTATTAATATTGGGAAAGGAGCAGAATGACCCAGCTGTTAATGCTATCTTTCCTCTCTGCCTCTCTTGCTGAATCACTGAACTGATTAGTTCTGACATTGCCAATGTTTGCACCACAAATGAAACTTCAACTGTGGCAATGCATGCAGGCAGCTCATAGGCAACATGCTTGGTTGGTTAGATTTTGTTTTCTGTTTGTTTTTTTTTAAATAGAAAATGAATTTTGCCGTCCCAGATTTTGGGGAAGAAAGGAATACAAATATGTGCCGGGGGAAAACAGAAGGATGATTAAGCTGCCAACAGATTGCTTCAACCTGCACTCCAAATAGAGAAGGAATCAGTAAATCATGCTTTGTTGAATCTCTCTGCTTGGCTTTCACCACTACATAAGAATAGTGTTAAATAATTTATTGGGATGTTGGCATTTGCCTCATGAAGCACATTGTACACAGTAACCCTGGGGGTGCACTTTGCATCATTTACCTTTTCAGAGAAGCAACAGTATGTGGTTAGATTGTTTAAATTTATAGTATATAGTTGGGGGATGACTTTTCAGTAAAGGGACTTTATTGTGGGATATCAAAGAAAAGGTCTGACTTACGCTACTTAGGAATGGAGAATTCTATTGCTTTAGATCTGGCATGTTTCTTTAAGTGATATGGATGTTATATTTATGAGATGATAGAAACAAAAGTAAGGACAAACCACAGTTGCTTTGCTGAAGATCACAGGTCCTCCTGTACAGGCTCCCTCAGCTTGGATACTTGCTGAATGATAACGTACCACCAGTTCTACCAAAAATCTTCCGTTCCCTGGTTTTAATGATCGTTACCTGGCTCCTGCTGTATGGCAATACAGTGGGAGAAGAAAACATTAATTTGTTACAAATATTTCTTTTCAGACTTCTGTTTTTCCGAAAAGCTACCCCTAAATTTAGCCTCTGAAATGCTTTGTAATAGGACACATTCCGTCAGAAGCTATGACCCTTTAGAGCAGCTGTGTTGAATACAAACAGCCTCATTCAAGTCCAGGAAAAATGCCAGAAGCAGACATCTGTTTCACATTCCTAGGCTCTGGGCAGAGCCTTCCAGGGGTGGCTGAATGGCATTCACTACTCTCAATCTGCAAACACTGCAAGAGGAGCTCCCTAAGACAACTGGCTGTGTTGTGCACTAGAGTAACCTGCTGTGTGTTTGAGCCCGCAGACCAACACGGTGCATCTTGGGCTCCACCACGCTGCACGTACTTGGGCCAGCCCACACAGTCCTGCTCCCTGGGAGGAAGCGGACTTCTTCCCAGCTGGTCCCATACTGTCATTGCTGCCTAGTACCAGCAATCTGAAACTTTTGAAAACTGTTCATCCTCCAATTTAATGAGTGGCAGGGAAGCAGCTCAGCAGTTTTGTATCCAAAGATGCAACTGAACTGTCCATGGAAGAACTTCACACTTCAATGGCAGTATTTCTTGTGCTCCTTGGGTGGAGTGATGTGTACCACACACTGGGAACTGTTAGTTAAAAAAAGTTATTTCAGTCTTCTGGCCATGCTTAAGATTGATGTGTTTACGTCAATAAAGTGCTTTGACAAAGATCTCCCTCTGGAGCTTTGATTTATAAATGACATGTTTTACAATGGGGTTTTTTTATAGCTGTTAAAAACATTTCCCTTTAGCCTGTCATGCAGACAACTATACCACTTTCCCTTCCTTTACAAAATGCACTGTTTGGCATAAATACAGACTGAACAAGTGGCAGAGTCAATTTTTTTCCCTAATCAAAGAAAAGTTTATAGCAAAATCTTTCAAATGTTACTATGGAAAGGTAAGTATCAGCAAAGAGAATAAAACCAGGGGAAGTTGAGGCTGTTACCTGAGTGTTTACGTCTGCTGGTATGTCTCACAACCATTTGCCAGCAACATTTAACAGAAAGCACATAAAACTTTTTTAATTCCACAAAATGCTAAAAATACACAATATTTTTACAAAATGTACACATAACAGAGAGCCCTCATTTTGTTCGACACACTTCAGTAGTTGCAGAAGACATGCTATCATATTCTGTAACCTTCTTATGTATTTCTTATTATCAATTCATACATTTCTTCTTTCATGTCCTACCTGTAAAGAGCTTTTACATCCTGCGGCAGGTTATCTCCATTGCTTAACTTCCCTTTGTGAATCAAAGGAGCAGCCCTGTCTGCAGTGATAAAAACATCCTGGTTGGCTGGATGGTTGGAAACCCTGCTCTCCCAGCTCATTCCACACACTCATCATGGTTGCTGAGTAACTTGCCAGTTGTCTCATCGGTTTTGTTGCTTTTCAGCATCTTGTTGCAGCACACGCAAGCTTCAGATGCCAAGGCTGTCCTCTTCAGTACGGAAGTTAAAACAGTCTCTGGTTCCTGCCATTAGCTCAGCTCCCAGCGCAGGACTAAGGAGAAAGAACAGGGCAGAAGTTAATTTCCAGCAAGTCTGTGGAACAAATATAAGATGGGAATGGGAAGCAGCTGCTGCCTGGGAGCTTTGGGGAGGCACAGGAAGAGAAAGAAGGAAATGGCTGGGGTGTACACCACCTCACTGTGCTGCCACTAGCTGGGGGATGCCTCCAGCCTCAGTCTGTGGCAACATGGAGAACAGGTAGCTTCTACAGTGCTGGAGGCTTTGTCCTCCAAACTGCAGGGGAAATAAGTGAGCTCCCATTATGTATGCTAGACATCTCCCACCCCTCTGGTGTCCTTGTTCCCTACAAGCTGGTTGCCTGAAGGGGAGATTCCCATGTGGGGCCTGTAGCTAAGGCATGGCCACAGTGTGGCCCCCCTCCACCCTCTCTTGCTGGGCTGTTACACAGCCCATCTTATTACTGTCCTTGCGCTGCTGCAGGTAACAACAAAGCCTTTGCTGTCCCACTGCAGATAAGTCACAAACAGCAGGAGGAGACAGGAGGATCAGGAGGACAAGTATCTACGTAACACTAATGCTTTAAGTTGACAAAGGGAGATGCATACCTTGCCAGATCATAAGTGCAGTGGCCAAAGAGCGTGGGCAGCAGCCGTGTCCACGCTGAGCTAAGCAGGAAGACCCAAGCAACTGGCAAGTTATCACTGCCAAACTCTCTCTGCTGGACATGATCCTCCCCATTACTTTGATGTAACTTTGAGATGATGGTTTATCATAGCACTTTTTTCCCCCTAATCTACCCAAATTAGTTTTATCTGGGTTCCCATCAGATGTGTCACACATGGCTTTGACCAAAATAACCTCAGTAGATTGTCACGAGCTTGCTTAACCCCCAGGATGCCTGGCAGCTCGATTTCTCTACACTTTTGCTAATGGAAGAACTGGCACATGCTCTGTCTAAGGATTATGAAGGTATCTAAGCAGCAATACTTCAATACTTCTAAGTGTAAGCAGCAATACTTCAATACTCAAATACTTCAATATTCAAATACAATTTCCCCTGCAAAGTGACAAATAAATCATCCATGTAGTCTGAAATGCTTGCAGAGAAAAACAATAAATGCCAATAGATTCCAAGTTTTTTTCCTAACAGTTTTAATAGAATAAAACTAGTTTTATTACTGAAAATCAGAAAAAAAACTTCAACACTGCAGCCAACTTTTTTAAAAACACAGTTACTTTTGAGGTAGACAGAAAACAATGATTAGGAATGAGTCACATAAATTGTTTCTCT